TGTTCAGACACCCAGCTAGTGTGCAGAAGAGAGATATTTCTTACCTGTTCTATCTCAGTGGAGTTTGGCTCACCCTCCTTTACACTTACCTCAAGATTTTCATTGCTGCCAAAGCTGCTAATTCAGCAGATGGAAATATCAAAAAAGCCAGGAACACAATCCTGCTTCATGGCTTCCAGCTGCTGTTAAGTATGCTCACTTTTTTAGCTCCCTTTTTAAAAACTTTGGTGAGCTTGTTGCCTAAACATTACATACACGTTCTCTTCGTTTGGTACATCGTCATCCAGGTTGTTCCCCGGTTCGTCAGTCCCATCGTGTATGGGCTACGAGACAAGACATTTAAACAGTACCTGAGAAAATATCTGTGTTGTACCACAAAAAAGGGAATACAGTAGTGTTCAGAGTTGAGTGAGAACTCAAGCTGTCATCATTTCTCAGTTCATACCAGAAGAGCCAAACTGATGTGTATCATGAGAGAAGAAAAACATTAGCCTTCAGTGGAACATGTAATGTAAAACTAGATCAATCACAGTGAACAAAATCAGGAAATATTCAATTTAAATGCACATTTATCAAGCTTGTTTGTTTGTGTTTCGAATTCTTGAAATGTCATGTTTTGGGAATTTGTATTTTACAAAATGAACCTGCCATGCGGGGAGTTTTGAAAAGAAAAGAAAACCCAACAAAGGCCAGAAAATGGATTCAAACTGAACCAGAAACATTTGCTAAATTTCAGAAATTCATTGTTTTTGTAAAAGGAACTTGGACATGTCAAACTTTGAGGAACATTTACAGTCTTGTTCTTTGTTGTTGCTGTTTTCCACAAGCTGAGGACTTCTGATATCAAACCGGATTATTTTGCTCTTAATAAAAACATTTGACAACAAACTAACTCATTCCGATGAATTTTGACAATTTCTTGACAAATAAATATTAGACTGACTGATGATTAAAGATCCCTAACAGTCCAAATACTGATTGATTGATTTTTACAGAGAACTTCCTGTTTTCTACTGTCAAAAAAAGTATTTTAGTTTTATTTCATAAATTGAGAAATAATCTGACCACTGTGATACACCCTCTGGGAATATAAGCATACAGGTTTTTTTTTGTAAAAATATGAACTGCCCATAGTAAAAGTGGTAAATGATTATTCAAACGAAAAGGATAATTATTATAGAACTGTAGATCTAATGCAAGTCTTTCCAATATCCCTCTAATGTAACATTTGGTCACTGGATTTATCCCATCTTTGGTCCAGTGACAGCTGGGATTGGCTCCATCAATGCAGCCATCAACTGGAATAAAGGAGTAAAGAAAATCCATCCATCCATCCATCCATCCATCCATCCATGATCCTCCGCTTATCCGGGGTCGGGTCGCGGGGGCAGCAGTCGAAGCAGGGAGACCCAGACTTCCCTCTCCCCGGCCACTTCTGCCAGCTCCTCCGGGGGGTCCCGAGGGGTTCCCAGGCCAGCCGGGACACATAGTCCCTCCAGCGTGTCCTGGGTCTTCCTCTGGGCCTTCCGAGCCCGGAACACCTCCCCAGGGAGGCGACCAGGAGGCATCCTGATCAGATGCCCGAGCCACCTCAACTGGCTCCTCTCCACGTGGAGGAGCAGCGGCTCTATTCCGAGCCCCTCCCGGATGGCCGAGCTTCTCATCCTATCTCTAAGGGAGAACCCTGCCATCCTGCGGAGGAGACTCATTTCGGCCGCTTGTATCCGCGATCTCGTTCTTTCGGTCACTACCCAAAGTTCGTGGCCATAGACGAGGGTGGGAACGTAGATCGACCGATAAATTGAAGGCTTCACCTTTAGGCTCAGCTCTCTCTTCATCACGACAGACCGGTACAGCGCCTGCATTACTGCAGACGCCGCACCGATCCGCCTATCGATCTCATGCTCCCTACCCCCATTCTCGAACAAGACCCCGAGGTACTTGAACTCCTCCATTTGGGGAAGGACGTTCGCACCGACCTGGAGAAGGCACTCTACCCTTGACGGGTGAGAGACCATGGTCTCGGACTTGGAGGCACTGATCCTCATCCCAGCCGCTTCGCACTCGGCTGCGAACCGCTCCAGCGAGGGCTGTAGGTCCCGACTTGATGAAGCCAACGGGACCACATCATCTCCAAAAAGCAGAGATGCGATCCTAAGGCCACCGAGAATGACACCCTCAACACCTCGGCTGCGCCTAGAAATCCTGTCCATAAAAGTTATGAACAGGACCGGAGACATAGGGCAACCTTGGCGGAGTCCAACTCCCACCGGAAACGAGTCCGACTTACTACCGGCAAAGCGAACCAAACTCTGACTCCGGTCGTACAGGGACCGAACAGCCCGTAACAAAGGGCCAGGTACCCCGTACTCCTGGAGCACCCCCCACAGGATACCCCGAGGGACACGGTCGAACGCCTTCTCCAAGTCCACAAAACACATGTGGACTGGTTGAGAGAACTCCCATGCACCCTCCAGGACCCGGCTGAGGGTATAGAGCTGGTCCAGCGTTCCATGGCCAGGACAAAAACCACACTGCTCCTCCTCGATCCGAGGCTCGACTATCCGACGGACCCTCCTCTCCAGAACCGCTGAATAGACCTTCCCAGGGATGTTTAAGAGTGTGATCCCCCTGTAGTTGGAACACACCCTTCGGTCCCCCTTTTTAAACAGGGGAACCACAGCCCCAGTCTGCCAATCCAGCGGAACTGCCGGCCGAATCTCATCCACCCCCGGAGCCTTGCCACCGCGGAGCTTTTTGACTACCTCGGTGACTCCAGCCCCGGAGATTAGAGATCCCAACTCCGGATCCCCAGGCTCTGCCCCTCCAATGGAGGACGCGCCAGTGGGATTGAGGAGGTCCTCGAAGTACTCCGCCCACCGACCCACAACGTCACAAGTTGAGGTCAACAGCACACCATCCCCACTGTAAGCAGTGTTGGTGGGGCACTGCTTCCCCTCCCTGAGACGCCGGATGGTGGACCAGATTCGCCTCGAGGCCGTACGTAAGTCTTTTTCCATGGCTTCCCAAACTCCTCCCACGCCTGGGTTTTTGCCTCGGCGTCCACCTGAGCCGCACGTCGCTTGGACTGCCGATACCCTTCGGCTGCCTCCAGAGTCCCACAGGCCAAAAAGGCCGGATAGGACTCTTTTTTCAGCCTAACGGCGTCCTTCACCGCCGGTGTCCACCAGCGGGTTCGAGGGTTGCCGCCACGACAGGCACCGACAGTCCTGCGACAGCAGCTCCGGGAGGCCGCGTCATTAATGGAAGCGCGGAACATGGCCCACTCGGACTCAATGTCCCCCGCCTCCCCCGGAACGTTCTCGAAGCTCTCCCGGAGGTGGGAGTTAAAGCTTCGCCGAACAGGAGACTCCGCCAGGCGCTCCCAGCAGACCCTCACAACACGTTTGGGCCTCCCGGGTCTCACCGGTATCCTCCCCCACCATCTGAGCCAACTCACCACCAGGTAGTGGTCAGTGGAAAGCTCTGCCCCCCTCTTGACCCGAGTGTCCAAAACATGCGGCCGCAGATCAGCTGAAACGAAAAACAAAGTCGATCATTGAGCTGCGGCCTAGAGTGTCCTGGTGCCAAGTGCACGTATGGACACTCTTATGCTTGAACATGGTGTTCGTTATGTACAATCCGTGCCGAGCACAGAAGTCCAAAAGCAGAACACCACTTGGGTTCAAGCTGGGGGGGCAATTCCTCCCAACCACGCCCCTCCAGGTCTAACTGTCGTTGCCCACGTGAGCGTTAAAGTCCCCCAGCAAAACGAGGGAGTCCCCAGTGGGGGCACCCTCCAGTACCCCCTCTAAGGACTCCAAAAAGGGTGGGTACTCTGTACTGCCGCTCGGCGCATAGGCACAAACGGCAGTCAGGACCCGTCCCCCCACCCGAAGGCGAAAGGATGCTACTCTCTCGCTCACTGGGGTAAACCCCAACGTACAGGTACCGAGATGGGGGGCAATGACTATGCCCACTCCTGCTCTGCGCCTCTCACCGGGGGCAACTCCAGAGTAGAAGAGCGTCCAACCCCTCTCGAGAAGGCTGGTTCCAGAGCCAGAGCTGTGTGTCGAGGCGAGACCCACTACATCCAGCCGGAATCTCTCCGCCTCGCACACCAACTCAGGCTCCTTCCCCGCCAGTGAGGTGACGTTCCACGTCCCTAGAGCCAGCTTCTGCAGCCGGGGATCAGTCCCCTTTGGCCCCTCCCACGGGTGGTGAGCCCATGGGAAGGGGGACCCATGTAACCGGCCGGGCCCCATGGGTAAAGGCCCGGCCACCAGGCGCTCGCCATCGTGCCCCGCCCCTGGGACTGGCTCCAGGGGGGGGGGCCCGGTGACCCGCACCCGGGCGAGGGTACTCTGAATCCATTTTTTCTTATTCGTCATAAAGGGTCTAAAAACAGAATCATGTTTCTCAAAAACAAAATGTTATTGTCATTATTAGATGGCCTGTTGGTGCCACATGTTTTTATGTTCTTTGTTTTTATTTTCTCTGACAACTACTTTTGCTATCTGTTAGTAATGTGGTCAGTTGTACTTTTTAGTGGCACGGGAAAATGTGTGTTTCCTGTTCAACCAGCACTTTAAAATGAATGCAAGTATAAGTTTCTGTTTGGACTCATTTCTGACCATTCATTCAAATAAATTAAACAAATATAGGACTAGTACTAGTGTAACACCATTTGTGTGGATAATCAAAAGCAAATGAGGTACCCAAGTAGAACATTTTATATCACCAAAAAGATTAAACTATTTCTTGCCTTCCCTTTGTAAGCAGTTGTTACAATTTTTTGTGTTAGTTGGATAAGTTCTATGGGAACTCCCAGTTTAAGAGAACGTACATTTTGACATAATGCCAAGCTTCAGTGGAGGAATACCATAATGTGCTATCAATGTTGCCCAGCCCTCATCCTGCCAGTAAAAGGTGTTATGTGGTTTCCTTAAGGGACTTTTACATAAATCGGTGTAAAGAGGTACTCAGAAAGATAGAAAACCAAACAGTGTGTATGTTAGGACCTCACATGTGGTTAAAACCCTGAAAGTCCCCAGGAAGATGCTTCATGTCCGGTCTGGGAACTCTACTTTGCCTGATTGGCTATTTAAAATTAAATAGCTGCTAATGCCCACAACAGGATGTTGCCTGATTTTTTTCAGCGCTGCAAACCCACCAGAAGGGTTGGTCCCCAAAAATGACTTGGTTTTGTGTCCCCACAATACCATAAATACAAAGATAGGTGTGTTTGTGTGTGTGTGTCCCATTGGAGTGACTATGGATTTGGTTGGGTCCGGTTCTCAGTCTTTTGTCCTCTGGTCCGCTCATGTGCGGTTCCTGGCGATGGGGTGGGCGCGCCCTGACTTTCCCGACTGCTCTGCTGACCACTGGCAAACCATGGCCCCCTACAAACTTTCTTTTCTTCTCTTCATGGTGTTCATCTTGTCACTCTCCGGAGAGCTGAGTATCTGATTTCTGTGAGAAATGCATATGGAGCAGGGATGGCCTTCTCTGGGGACAAAGGAAAAAAAGTCAACAAGCCATTTCATTTCGTTCAGAGATGTGAATAATCAGCAGGGAGGAGGTTACGGTGACGTCCCACTCAGCATGGCAGAAACATCCAGATAGCCAATATAAACACACGCCAGGGTTGGACCACTCTTTGTCATTCCTTCCTTTATCATAACAGCTGTCACACTGTTTACATCTTATCCCCTTTTTATGTTGTCGCTTTTCCTAAAGAGATTTTCTGATATAGTTAGAATAAGATTGTTTT